CAATGTTACAATTGTCAGAAGTATGGTCACTATTCGAGTGATTGTCCAGAAAAACGAAAGAATCAAGAAAGTGATGCAAAGCTGGCAAAACATGAAGAAGAAGAAGAGATGATGCTGATGGTCACAACAAGAGATGAAGACAGATTCAAGGACCAATGGTACTTGGATTCAGGATGTTCATCACATATGTCTGGAAGGAAAGACTGGTTCGTCAATATAAAACCCTCAACGAAGAATATGGTAAAATTTGCAAATGACAACACCCTAGCAGCTGAAGGTATTGGTGATGTTATGATCATGAGGAAAGATGGCAAGAAGTCAGTAATTTCGAATGTATTATACATACCAGGCATGAAGAGCAATTTGCTCAGTATAGGGCAGTTGGTCGAAAAGAATTATAAAGTGTCAATCGAAGATAAGTTGATGAGAGTCGTTGATGCAAATGGGAGATTAATCTTGAAGGCTCCTATGTCTCAGAATCGAACCTTCAAGATTGAACTAAATGTGATGGAGCACAAGTGCCTTTCGACTGCAGCTAGCAGAGATGAATGGATATGGCATTATAGACTTGGTCATCTCAACTTCAGAGACATCAGAGATTTGAAGAGAAGAAATATGGTTTCAGGATTGCCTGAAATTGACATTCCAAATGAAGTATGTGAAGAATGTGTGCAGGCGAAGCAACACAAGAACAGCTTCAGCAAGGATGCAGGAAGCAGATCGAAGGCTAGTCTCAAAGTCATATACTCTGATGTATGTGGACCAATTCAGGTGGATTCGATGGGAGGTAACAAATACTTTGTTACATTCATAGATGATTTCAGTCGAAAGCTATGGACTTACCTGATCAAGCAGAAAAGTGAAGTGTTCGAAGTATTCACCAAGTTTAAGTCTATGGTCGAAAGACAAAGTGGACGAAAACTCAAAGTTTTGAGAACTGATGGTGGAGGAGAATATGTGTCGAAAGACTTCGACAGATTATGTGAAAAAGAAGGGATTGTGCATGAGGTGGTGCCACCCTATACTCCACAGCAAAATGGAATTGAAGAAAGGAAAAATCGAACCATCATGAACATGGTGAGAAGTATGTTAAAAGGCAAGAATTTACCCAAAGAGTTCTGGGGTGAAGCTGTTTCGACTGCAACATACATTTTGAACAGAAGTCCTACAAAGAAGCTAGAAGGAATTACTCCAGAAGAATGTTGGTCTGGTGTGAAGCCTAGCTTAAGTCATCTGAAAGTATTTGGATCTATTGCACATAGACATGTGCCAGATCAGTTGAGAAAGAAACTTGATGACAAGTCAAGTCAAATGATCCTAGTTGGATATCATTCGACAGGAGGCTACAAGTTGTTCGATCCAGAGAACAAGAAGATTGTGATCAGCAGGGACGTGATCATAGATGAGTTCAAAGAATGGGATTGGACTACAAATGTCAAGAAAGATTCAGTGGGAATCTTATTCGAAGAGCCAAAAACTCAAGTCGAAATAGAAGTTCGACAAGAGGAGCCAGCAGATATACCCAGTACAAGCAGACCTCAAAGAACAAGACGCATGCCTGCAAGATTGCAAGATTGTGTGATTACATCAGATGATGTGATAGATGATGAAGGTGAGCTGGTACATTATGCTTTCTATGCAGATGTCGAACCTGTTAATGCAGCTGAAGCATTAAAGGATTCGAAGTGGGTGAAAGCAATGAATGAAGAAGTAAAGTCTATCAAAGACAACAACACTTGGTCACTTGTCGAATTGCCTCAAGGCAAGAAGGCAATTGATGTCAAGTGGGTATACAAAGTGAAGACGAATTCGAAAGGTGAAGTAACTCGACACAAAGCAAGACTTGTGGCGAAAGGATTTCTACAGAAAGAAGGAATAGACTTCGACGAAGTTTTTGCACCTGTGGCTAGGATCGAAACAATCAGGTTGGTTGTTGGTCTAGCAGAAATCAACAGTTGGCACATATGTCAGATGGACGTGAAGTGTGCATTCCTAAATGGACCCTTAGATGAAGAAGTTTATGTTAAACAACCAGTTGGGTTTGTGAAACATGACGAAGAAAGAAAGGTGTACAGGCTACATAAAGCCCTGTATGGTTTGAAACAAGCTCCAAGGGCTTGGAATAAGAAAATTGATAGTTTTCTAAGGGAGAAGGAATTTGAGAAGTGCATAACTGAACATGGAGTATATGTAAGAAGAAACAAGAGTAAATTGCTTATATTATGTCTCTATGTAGATGATTTGTTGATAACAGGTAGCTGCAAGAGTGAGATCGAAGACTTCAAAGTTGATCTTAGCAAGGAATTCGAAATGTCTGATTTGGGTGAGATTTCATATTTCCTTGGTATCGAATTCCACAAGAGCAGTAGAGGTTTGATGATGCATCAAAGAAGATATGCAGGAGAAATTCTCAAGAGGTTTGAGATGGAAGAATGCAACGCAACTTCGACACCTGCAGAACCAAGACTGCAACTGTCGAAAGATGCAGATGAAGATGATGTTGATCCAACCCAATACAGAAGACTTATTGGATCATTGAGATACCTTTGTCATACAAGGCCTGACTTAGCATACAGCGTAGGTATGGTAAGTAGATTCATGCAGAAGCCAAAGGTATCACATCTAGCAGCTGTGAAGAGGATACTAAGGTATCTTAAAGGAACTTTCGATTATGGTATTCTGTTTCATGCAGTTGATAAAGGAAAAGAATGCAAGTTAGTAGGATATACTGATTCGAGTTGGTGTAGTGATGCTGAAGATCGAAAGTCAACAGCAGGATATGTGTTTATGCTAGGTGGTGCAACAATTGCTTGGAGTTCGAGAAAAGAACCAGTAGTAGCATTATCATCATGCGAAGCAGAATACGTAGCTGCTTCTCTTTGTGCATGCCAAGCAACCTGGATGGTGAACTTGGTCGAAGAGATAACAGGGAAAAATCATGGAGCAATTACCATGAAGATAGACAGCATGTCAGCTATCAACCTGGCAAAGAACCCAATAGCACATGGTCGAAGTAAGCACATCGAAATGAGGTTCCATTATCTTCGAGAGCAGGTAGCAGATGGGAAGATGAATTTGGAACACTGCAGAACTGAGAATCAGATTGCAGACATCATGACGAAGGGAGTGCAAGTCGAAGTATTCAGAAAGCTAAGGGCCATGATGAACATAGACAGTTTAGACACAATGAATTAGGTGGTGTGTTAAATTGTAATTCATAGGTGTCAAAAGAAGATTTGATTTGTTTAGATTTAAATAGATTTGAATTTAAATCTAGATTAGATTTGATTTAGTAAAGAGATATTTTGGGCTTGGGTTTTAGCTTAGGGAGCAAGCTAACCTAAATCTATAAATAGAGGGAGTAACCCCTAATTTTGTAATCAACTCATTCACAGTATTTTGCAGTTGCAAAGTGAATTAATAAAGTTTCCACAGTTTGTGGGCAGAGAGAAACTCTGCAGAAATAATTCTATTGTCTTTTCTTAGTTTGTTTCATAACTAATCATCAGTGGTGGTCGAAATTCATCATAGAGTATTGGTGGATTTCCAACAAAACTAACACATAAAATCTTAATCAAGAACAATAAAGAACTATAATAAATCATAAATAAGAAACAAACAAAATTAGCAAAAGAATAAAATAAAAAAATAAAAATTAAGATTGAAACTCAATTAATTTTAAGAATGATATTTATTGGAATATTTATTTGTAGAGACATAGTAGAAATCATAAAAAATTAAGGAAAAAAAAAAAGAAAATAACACAAACAGATATAAAAAAATCATAATCAAATTAAAATAAATCTAAACAGCATCTAAAATATGAATAGAAAATTATATTCATAACAAGTTGGACTGGAAGAATAAAAAAATGTTAAAAAAACAACAAAATAAAAATAAAATAAAAAATGAATCAAATAAAAGAATACACTTTCATCTTTTAGATCCGAAAACATTTTATCTTCTAAATCTGGAATCATGGATATTTAAATATACTAAGTGTTAGAAGAATTTTTTTATATTTTATTTAACTGTTATTTTAATAGTTTAATGTTATAATTTGTCAATTATATTTTTACTTTCACAATAATTCTACTTTAAATTTATTATAAAATTAATTATTTTTTAATTAATTATTGAAAAAAGAAAGAAAGTATGATTTAATTTATTTAAAAAGAGAAAATTTAGAAAAATTAAATTTGATAATTCATTTATATTAAAATCACACTTAAAAAGTAATAGAAAGAGTAAAAAATAAGATAAATTTTTCTCTCTCTTTCCTTATCACAACTACCCCATAATTTCAATTAAAAAATAAATTAAATTTTAAACAAATTTAAAATTTCCTCGCTCCTTATTTTATATGTGTTTCCATACAAATAATTCTCTCTCCTTAAAAGTACAATCAAACACTAAATATATACAACACTAGAATAACCACCACCCTTATAAAGGGCAATTTAGTTAATAAAACTAATAAATAACTAAGGTTCAATATAAGAATAATTATTGTTAATTGTGTTCAATAAAAATTCCACATTTTTATAATATATAAAAAATTTAACTAGAAAACATTTTTTTTTACAATTTGATGAATTTTAATATAAAATTATTTTATATTAAAAATGCATATTTTGATTTTTGACAATTTCATGAATTCTTTTTGAAAAAATTAATTTTGAAAAATAATGTGCAAAAGAATATATTTTTATAATTTATTATTATTATTTAAAAAAATTATGTTTTTTAAAAAATTAACAAAAATACTGAAATCTTTTAAATCCCTCATCCTCTCGGATTAGAGAGAAAAAAAAACATTGAATTAAAATTGTATTCAATAGAAAATAGAAATTATAAAAGTAAGTAGTTAAGCAGAAATTACAACATTTTAGGTTTTGTTTCATTTCAATTTGAATTCAACATTTTAGGTTTTGTTTCATTTCAATTTGAATTCCAACACAACACACAATTTGCTGAGTGTGCCGAGCTACAAGACAAGAATGATGTTTTTAAGGTACGCGGTTTCTGTTTCCATTCCGAAATCGAGATCATACTCTCACTGTGTCCAACATTTCATTGATGATGTTGATGTTATTTCCTTGTTCAATCGATTTGTCCATAAGAATCCCACCCCAGCCGCTATTGAATTTGGCAAGATTTTAGGTTCTCTTGACAAGGCCAAACATTACCCCACTGTTGTTTCCCTTTCTCAGAAAATGGAATTGAATAGAGTTACTCCTGATTTTGCAACTCACAACATTCTCATGAACTCTCTCTGCCAATTGGGTCATATTACTTTTGCTTTTTCTGTTTTGGCAAAGATTCTCAAGAGAGGTTATCACCCAAATGTCATAAGCTTCACTACACTCATCAAGGGTCTCTGTCTCAAAGGTGACCTCTATAAAGCATTGCAATTTCACGACAACTTGCTAGCAAAGGGATTTCACCTGGACCATGTTAGTTATGGAACATTGATCAATGGTTTATGTAAAGCTGGACAAACAACAGCAGCCCTACAATTGATGAGACGAGTTGATGGAAAGTTGGTCCGGCCTAATGTGGTAATGTATAATACAATCATTGACAGTATGTTCAAAGATAATCTCGTTAGTGATGCATGCGATTTGTATTCTGAAATGGTTGCTAAGAAAATTTCTCCTGATGTTTTCACTTACAATGCTTTAATGAGCGGCTTTTGTATTGTTGGTAAATTAAAAGAAGCAATTCATTTGTTTAATAAAATGACATTGGAAAACATTAGTCCGAATGTGATTACTTTTAATATATTGGTGGATGCTTTTTGTAAAGAAGGAAAGGTGAAACAAGGGAAGAATGTGTTAGCTATGATGATTAAAAAAGACATTAAACTTAATATTGTTACCTATAGTTCTTTGATGTATGGATATTGTCTTGTAAATGAAGTGAACAAGGCCAATGATATATTCAACATTATGTTCAAAAGGGGAGTGACTGTTGATGTTTGGAGCTACAATATCATGATTAATGGATTCTGTAAGATTAAGATGGTAGACGAAGCTTTAAGACTCTTCAAAGAAATGTGTTGTAGAAAAATCGTTCCTGATACAACTTACAATTCTCTTATTGATGGCTTGTGCAAATTGGGGAGAATCTCACATGCTTTGGATCTTGTCGATGAGATGCGTTATAGAGGTCAACCACCAAATATAATTACTTGTAATTCTATATTAGATGCTTTGTGCAAAAATCATGATGTTGACAAGGCTATTGCATTATTTAAAGAATTTAAAGACAAAAGTATTCAACCTGATATGTACACATACAATATTCTTATCGATGGCTTGTGTAAAGGTGGAAGACTAAAGGATGCACAAAAGGTTTTTGAAGAACTGTTGGTCAAAGGCTACAATCTTAATGTCTACACATATACTAGTATGATCCGTGGACTTTGTAGCAAAGGCTTGTTTGATGAAGCATTGGCCATGCTGTCAAAAATGAAAGACAATAGTTGCATTCCAAGCGCTCTTACTTATGAAATAATTATCTATTCCCTTTTTGATAAAGATGAAAATGATAAGGCAGAGAAACTTCTTCGTGAAATGATTGCAAGAGGTCTATTGTAAGGCTGAAACTAGGTAAGATATTTGCCTATTGTTGTACATTGTTATTTTGAACTTATGTTTCAACACAGTTTCATCATTTTATTTATGTAGTTGCTTCACCTAATTGAAAACTAGGCTTTTTGTTATTTCGTTTGGGGAATATATAAAAATTATTGTTGTCTTGGGAGTGTTGTTGGGTTGAATTTGTACTAATTGTATTACATTTTCTCTAGACAACACTTATCATCAACAATAGCTTATATCTATATGCTTTATATGGTAAAAAATTCGTTTCGATACAAAACTCGAATACCTGCGATGGGATGATGGAGGTTAGCAAAGGTCAAGAGACTGAAAGTGACCCAAGAATGAAAACCGTATACATTTGCTTACACAATGCCTATAATAGTTATGAGAAAGAGTTAGTTAGAGAATGAGCACATTGTGAATTCTAATTTTAGTTGTAATTTTGAGTCTCATTGCCTTTTGCTTGGGAGTTGTTGCTATTATTTTTTAAATTTCATTGTACTGTACTTATAATACTTCCATTAGTATACGGTCACTTTACAAATGTGTTTGTGTACCACAATTTAGAATTGTGGTTTGTGGTTTAAATTACAAGTATAGTTTTAAATTCATTCATGCAGAAACTACGATTGGATTGGAGATTAACTGCATGTACGGCATGTGGCCAAGATCTTCATGTGCCGCAAAGGACTGTTATAAAATCTGAGTTTGAAGTTTGATGTTTGATTCTGTGTTCTTCCATCTATCCAACTCAGTTCTTGATGTTGTAGTTACTTTGAGTTTGTTATTCTTGCTGTGAACTCGTGTTCTGAGTTTGATTTGTAGTCCTATTATAAAAGAAGCGTGGCCAAGACAGATTGCTATATAGTTTCAGAACAGAAGGACTAGGTTGAAGACCAAGCATTTGGTAAAGACAATAACAATGTGAAACTATCAAGGCTAGTAATGATGCACGTCAAGTCCAGAATCAAAATCTTCAGACAGAAGTTTTCTTCTTACTTGTGATCCAATTGGATGCTGCTCTAAAATTTTGGTTTTCTTTTAGGTAAGAAATTTGTTTCTAGTTTCCACCTTCGATACGTCTATTGCATCAACTGAAGTTTGTGGTTTATCTTCATATAACATATGTTCTCTAGTATCTTCTTTATCTGAATGTGATTAGACAAGGAAATTGCACTTTAGAACAACGGCGGTGCCACTGTCATAGTTTTGCAGTCATATGAAACTTGGAGAAGTAGTATAAAAATTTGTTAATATTGGTGACATTTACAGAAAGTTAGAACATTTAGTTTATAAATTACATTTACAGTCATAGTTTTGCATTTTAGAACTTTCTGTCAATATTGGTGACATTTAGAGAAAGTTAGAACATTTGTCTATGAATTACATTTACTCCTTTATAAAGCTTTCATTATTTGAGATTGTGAAGAGCTGTTAACCTGCTTTGTTTAGGAATTTTACTCACAGTGCTTGTTAACCTGCTTGTGAATCTTTGAAAGTTTGGGACAATTGTGTAGATTCTTTCTTAGGATGGTACAAGGCCAGATACTAATATATTATGCTGGTTGAGAGTGTTCCAAGAGATGATTTGTTGAAACATGAAAATGCATTGAACATGTACTCTGATGCCCTGCTCATCCATATATAGCTGTGTCATTCTGAGATGAATGGTTATTTCACACTCCCATCCATAACATTCATGCACATAGTTTGCACATGCTACAGGATTGGGGAAGAACTTCAACTGCGACAAACTTGCGGCGTAGACGTCCATCTATGAGGATCTTGCATTGTAGATTAAGGTACTGTGTTATAAGTTCCAAGTTTGATGTTTGATTTAGTGTTCTTCCATTTACTCAACTGAGTTCTTGATGTTGTTGTTAATGTTATGACGTGTTTGTTATTCTCGTTGGTATATGGTTTCAGAAGGAGTGCGGCCAAAACAGATTGCACAAGAACTGTTTAAAATGGTGAATTACAGCAGAAAATGGTGACACTGTGCTCGGGCCTTTCAGAAAAAGGGATTTGATGTTGTGTTGTGTCCTGCAGAACAACTTGTACTATGAGATGATGTATTTTTCTATACTTTGATTCCCTGTAAACATTTTTCTACCGTCAAAATGCTTGTATTTTGCAGGAAAACCAATTTGAAACACCACTCATTTTAAGCATTACAAATAATATTTAATATTAGAACACCACTCAATTTAAGCATTTAAAATAAATATTTTTTATTTGACACTCTAACAAACTATGCCATGCTTTCCACATAGGACTCTACCAATTTTGGAGCAACATCTTTGTCATAAGCAGGGTTGATTTAAAGGACAAGTGCGTCTCTATAAGATCCACCGGTAACGTTTGTTATACATTATGCATCAATTTAATTTAGCCATTTGAACACACTAAGCCATTCTTAGCTTGCTTCAATTAATTTAAAAAAAGTTTGAAACAAACCATATCAAATCACCTTTTTATTAGGATCCTTTAGGGAACAAACCATCTTGAGAATGTTGGCAAATACAGAAAAGGAAAGAGAGTTATGACCCAATTGACAAAAACAATTGATCAAGATGCTCAAAGTGACTGAGCTTGATGCAACTCCGTTTAATAAAGTGAAACTACAATGGAGTAATGGTTGGCCTTGACAAGGGAAGCTAAAATCTTGTTAAAATGATAGGAGGGGTAGGATTGTGACGGAGCAAGTGATTGAATGAAGAAACCAGATTTTCTTGGTCATGGAATTGAGAGTATAACCTAGAGTTTGAGTTTGTTAATTTCCAAGTTGAAAATAAGAAAAATTAGAACTGAACCTTGAACTCAGACCACGTCTCATGTTTCTACTTCCTGTCGTGATCTTCATGGCCAAATGTTTTTTTTTTTTAATTTTAATTTTTAAGTATTTTTTTTTGGATGAAGTTTTTAAGAATATCTATAATAGGAGAATTTATTTTTGGTTGTTTTAACTATTTTATGTGAGATCAATTGTCACATTGCATTTAAGCAACACCTAAGCAATTTAAACCAATTTTATTTCAATTGTGATTTGAATAAACAATCTATATCTGACCCAATAAACTTATATTTGATTCTATAAATTATCAAAATTAATATTATTTAATGCTAAACAATCTACTTTTTGGATTGTTTTATGATATAACTTACACAAATATTTAATCAATCAGAACACCACATGTATCTACTCTAATGTTAAAAATGCTAAGCTCTGGAACTTATAAATCTTAGTGTGCATTAAACAACCTCTATTGAAGATGCTCTTAAAGCATCTCCAATGAAGATTGTTTAAAATACACTAGAATTTATAAGTTCTGAAACTTGGTATTTTTATCATTGGAGTAGATATATCAGGTGTTCTCGTTGCTTAAGTATTTGAGTGAGTTACTTCATGAAACAATCCAAAAAAGGTGTTGCTTATCATTAAATAATATTAATTTTGATAATTGGTGGGGTCAAATATAAATTGATTGGATCACATATAGATTGCTTATTGAAATCATCATGGAAGTAAAATTGGTTTGGATTGCTTAGATGTTTAAATGCAATGTGATAATTTGATCCCACAAAAATAGCTCAAGCAATCGAAATTAGTTTCCCTTATTGGAGATGCTCTAAGTGTTGAGTTTCATTTGGTTTTATTCTCTGACATTAACAATCCATTACAAAAAAAGGAGGTGGAAAACGCCCAATGACGTGACACTAGTGACATGACATGGGAGAACAAAATACAAAAAAATAAGTAATTTTACGAAACTTCTTCTTCCTCAATCCATCTCCGGCCTCCATTTTTTCTCACCTTCAAACTTCATCTCCAACCTCCTTTTTTTTCTTCACATTCACCTTCATCTTATGTTATCCAAACTCCATTTCAAAAAGAAGCCACCTTTTCCTCCATTCCCTATCTTATTTTTCATAGAATGCTTATGTTTCTCTTCTCACCAACCTCATCATCCATGGAGCTCACCATAAGCAGACTTAGAGCTTCTATGTAAATTCCTTATCAAACTCACTTCAAAGACCATGATATTGTCCAAAGAAATTTTTTGAGTTTGTATAAAGGTTGGAGATGAAGATATGAACACAAACCCATAACTATGGATTAAATAGTTTTTTCGTCTCTGTAAGTTGGCACGTTTTTTTGTGGGTTTCTATTATTACATTTTTCTCAGTCGGTCAAAGCATCATTCTCAATTCCATTCTCACTTTAATATTCATATCCAAACTCTATAATGTATGTCTCATCTTCTAAATCTCTTTCCTATGTTTTACCACTGAAACAATGAGTGATGTGTTGTTGCGAAAGTGTTAAGGTAATTTTTTAATACAATTTTCATGTTGGATCTACCAATAGTTAGATTCATGGTTTGTTTGTATTCTTCAATATTAGAAGTATTTCCCTAATATTAAATTCATGATTATATCAACCTTACTTTCTTACTAGTTAAATACTTCAGTTTCTAATTGAAGATTGAGAAAAACATAAGAAATGAGAGTTTGAATTGAGTTTTCAAAAACTTTCTCGTTTAGAAGTGCTTTCCACAAACAATTAGAATTAGAAACAATGCTTTAGAAGAGAAATAATGACACTTTCGATTTACACAGGTTCACCTTAGTAAAGGCTAATCATGTCCACCCGCCAAGGTGATTTCGCCTTAGAAAGGGACTTAATCCACTAATCTTGAAAAATTACAGATGCACGGGCCACTCACCGGTGACTAATAATAACAATGATAACCTGTTAGTGATCTCTTAAAATTTTTAACCTACCTGGCCTCCTAAGAGATATAACGATCACTGACTCCTTAAGACTTCTGACCTACTCGGTCTCTTGAAGGAGATTTCTCTAAATCTTCTTGAGTTCTGACCTACCCGATCACTCAAGGAACAATCAACTTATAGTTGAATAATGTGTTTACAGATTGTTTCTTACAAGCAGACATAAATGTTTAAGTACATATTGTTTAACACAAATATGA